AGATGATGAACGTGATATATCTGTATGCATATTGGGTAGGACCGACAAAGACTAGGGAGACCGAAATGACCATTTTTGGATTATTAACCATCATCAGCCAGTCATACCAAATCCGAGGTGTGGATTACCCGAGAATCGAACCCGGCATCTTTTTTCGCTGGGTTTATCACTCTACCATTGCACCACTGGCTCGTTGCTTTGTCGGTTGCGATTGCGAATATGATGGAAGTGGGGTGCTCCTCCAATATATTTAATTAGAGATCAAACTTGTCCCACTGTGCCTTGAAGCTCGTGCTAGAGTGATCACAGGCAGTCGCTTCACAGGTTTGAAGTCGCTAATGCGACTGCCTGAGATCACTCTAGCATTAACATCAAAGCACAATGGAACAAGTATGGTTTTGTTTTAAAGAAAGAATCTCTGCGAGTTCTTTCCCGGGCTTACTTTGGATGCTGAGCGTAGACTTACTTTGGGACCCTGCGGTCCAGGAATTGCAGTTGCATTGCACATTTCTAGGGTACATTCACCCGGTGGTCCCGGATCTCCTTTTGGACCCTGAAATAAAAGAGAAACGTGTTTGGCGTCTAATGCAAAGATTTGAAGCACTGGCAGTTGGTGGGGAAATATGAAAACACGCTCTGTTTTTTTTTTCAACATTAACCTGTAGCGTGTGCAGAAAGACAATCAGGTTTTTGACTCGAACCGGCAACCTTAGCAGGTCGTGCGAAGCTCAGTGGTCATGCGTTAACGTCACACTGGCCAACGCGGTCTATCCTGCATTTTTGCAAAGGTATCTGCCCTCCGCTTTCAATACCTAGTGGCACCAGAGACAATAGCGCAGGGCTCTCATGGCGACAAATCAGCCCGCATTGATTCACGCCTGCAGAGACTGCATGCACATGTACGAGTGGCACGATTTGTCTAAACTACATCGAGGTTTAAGCACAGGGGAACGTCTCAACTAGGTTATTTCGTTGGGTGGAACGTGTGGAGGAGGAACGTGGCGCTGCAATTACCTTGCCAGGCAGTTTGCCATGGTTTCCTGTCTGTGCACATAAAGAGCACATTGAATGTCAAAACATGTGTAACGAGGCTCCCAAATTGGCGAGGGATTAAAGTGCAGATCAGAATACCGAAGTCGACAAGTTCATGTACGCGTAAAACGCTTTACGCGGAAGGGGCAGAAATCACAGTCCTCCCGTAATTGCATCGGTTGTTCTGCCGTCGAAAGGCCAGATTTATGTGGCGGAAAACCAACATTAATATCCGGCCCCCTTGTGTAATGCCCACTGTCTCATGGTCACGCAACCTCACAGTGAGCGGTTTTCCGACTCGCTGACTACCCAAAGACCACTGGAACACGCCAGCCCTCCCCCGACGCTGCAAAGACCATATATACACGACATTCTCTCGGGTAATGTTCCTCCATCATATAAAATCAGCTGCCACCACTGCCTCACTTCCTCTCAGGCCTGACAGGACGTGGTCAACGCTAATCCTGGCTTTGCCAATGACTACGGCTGCCTGAGGTAGCACTTTAGAATTCTGTGTCCAATGCATCCCCTATTGTGGTACTTTCTGTCTTTTGAAAACAATCCAGGATTCGGCTTGATGATTGTAGTGCTCTGAGTACAATTACTGCTTAGACCCCTAGAAATTAGTGACCTGGACGCTTTTTTGCGTAAACTGGCCGGTATGACTGACTTCTCAGCTCCTTAGGCCGGCCAAATGTCGTCTAAGTGCCTGTAAATGTTAACGACGCAATG